AAAAAGTAAATGGATTAATTAATAGGATAATAGTACTCAACAGACTGATGATTTGCAAGATCGAGCTAAGGAGCTAGCTCCCAAAATTTATGAAGAAAGATGAAAATAGATGAGGAGTTGGTAAGGAATACGGAAATTCATAAAAAGAAACTTGATGGCCTGCAGAGAAATAAATAAAGGTGTGAGACCATACAGGATAGCCCAGATTAGAGCAACCCACCCAACGAGGCAGGAGAATGATGGAACACCCAGGCCAACCTCAAACACTATCAAAAGTCCTAAACACTCCAGAGACATTAAGCTGGCTACATAAATAGTGAGAGATCACTGAGTTATCAATGGTTTACATGGTGATCAATGATTTCTTGACAGTAGCACTGGACAGAAGAAATCAATGGAACAATTCCTTCAAAATTCTGATGGAAAATGATTTCTAATATATCAACTCAAATTAGCAAATAAGGATAAATGAGGATAAATATACGTTTTTTTTTATATCCAGACACTTAGAATATTTCTTTTTTATCATATATATATATTGACAAAGCTTCTCTCCTGAACTGCTCTAGCTTCCTTGAACTCATGTTATAGTCTAAATGTTTGGGTCCCCCACCCCCTAAAAATGTATATGCTGAAATCCTAATTCCCAAAGATGATGGTATTAGGAGATGGGGAGCTTTGGGAAATGCTTAAGACATGAGTGTGGAGCCCTTGCCCCTTCACCATGTGATGACACAGTGGAAATGGCCATCTATGAACTAGGAAGTCCTCACCAGACACTGAACCTGACAGGGCCTTAATCCTTGACCTCTCAGCCTTTAGAACTGTGAGAAAACAAAAATGCGTATTGTTTACAAATCACCCAGTCTATGATATTTTTGTTGTAACAACCCAAATAGACTAAGCTCTTTTCTCAACGAGACCCTGACATGTGGGTTTACATGTCTGTCTCCGCATTGTCCAATTTCAGCAAGAATCCTGCTCCGTCAGTTTGGCCAGAATCCCTCATCCTCCATGCCTGCTTGCTCTCAATATCTGGTGGGGTTCCTTATCCCCTACCCCCAGGTGATGTCTCCACACCCTTGCCTGCCTTTGGCAAGTACCCTGTTATGTTGGTTTAGCCGGAACCCCCAAGACCCTGGTGTTTCCTCTTATGTTTCCCATCCACTGGCCCCACCCTGCTCTTTCGCTAGAAACTTCCACTTTTCCACACTGTATTTGCAAGCCCAATCTCTGTCTCACTGCAATCCCACTGCAGTGGCCCCTCCACCTGTCATGCTAGAACCCCTGAGTAAGGTCTTTCGTACCATCTCTAAAAATGTCCTGGCACTTTGGTTAACAGGTAGTACATATGTGTGCATGTATCCACCAAATTTGGGAGGAAATATGGGAAAACATTATTTCATAAGACATATGAACTAGAAATAAAGACATTTTTAGAAATCCAAAGCTATTTGGACTTTTAATTTTATTCTGTTTTTCTTCTAGTACCAGGACTTGAAAGCATCGGTTTACATTGTAATCTAGCTGTTTAATCCCGGTACTGGTTCTGCAGTGACATTTACTATTGACCCAATCATAACTGTGGGAAACTGAACGCCACAACGACCACTGGTGCATGTTCGCTCAGACTCTGAGATCTCTGAGAAAACTCGAGATTGCAGGGTTAAAATAACCTGAAAGGATCAGAGTGAAATGCCCTTGGGACGTGTGTGGTCAGTTCTAAAGTACGCAGCAGAAGATATTTAGTAGATAGGAAGCCAGCTGTAAACAGCACACTGTGCATTCCCCTCTTTGTTCCTTTATTCTGTTTTAAAGATTCTTACATGCTTGACTAATCCTGGGTACATGGAGATATGTGCCTTATTATGCCCCTGCTATAAATCATTATAGGTCTATATCATTGTAGAAGGTATATAAGGTTATGGAAAATAAGCCTTGGGACCTCGGGCTGATTGCTCGGGGTCCCCTGTGCCTCGCTTTACTGTCGTCTTTTTTCCTCAGTTCCTTTGCCACCCCAGGTCTATGACTCTCCAAGGTCGACAAGTGGTGCCCAAACAGGGACCTGAAGCCCCCCTGGAGGAGTGATCAGCCAGCGCTAGGAACCCTACAGAAGGTGGTAAGTAGGAATGTTTATTACAGGGTTATGGGGCAATCAAATTCGAAAGCATCAGGTTTTGCTGCATTAATACATCATTTTCTTAAAGAATATGGAGCTAAAGTCACTAAGCAGCCCATAGAAAAATGTTTGGAAACAGTAGTTGAATATAATCCTTGGTTTCTGGACGAAGGCTCCTTAGATGAGGAGACTTGGATCCGAGTGCAAAATAATGTCTTGAGGGCTATGAGACAGGGTGAAATGATTGCCCTTGATTTCTGGCCCATTTGGGCTTTAGTACGAGTGGTTATCAATGCTATGGAAACTGGGGATAAGTTATCCCCGGCTGAGGTTGTTAAAGAAACTACCAACTCTTTACATACATATGAATTAGACGATGAGGCTTTAGAAAAGGCTAAGACTGAAAGTAAAAAAAAAATTTGCAGCTTCACAGCCCCGGCTGTTACCCACAGCCCCTCTGCTTTTAATGGAGGAACCCGTCGATGATGATCAACCTGCCTCCACAGTATATTTATTCCCTCTCAAACGATCCTCTCTAGCTCTCTCACCTCTTGAAAAGGAACTCCGACGGCAAGGGGCTAATGATTTGTTTATGGCTTTCCCATAGACCGAACACAGGCTGTTGGTCCTGTCTATGAGGGATTAGATTTAAATACTTTAAGGGAACTGAAGAAGGTTTGCCACTTGTATGGACCCACAGCCCCTTATACTATAGAGATTTTGAAAGCTTGGGCAAATTCTGGGGAGTGGATCCCTCATGATTGGCATATGGTTGCACGGGCTTGCCTTAAGCCACAGGATTTATTACAACGGAAAATGTGGTTATCGGATGCTGCCTATATGAAAGTCCGGGCGAATCAGGCTAACCCAGCCATGCATCATATTTCTTTTGAAATGCTCACTGGCTCTGGCCCCTTTTCAGATGCTCGAGAGCGCTGGTTAACACTCCACCTGCAGCCACAGAGCAGGTATCTGAAATCGCCCTTGCAGCTTGGGGAAAGTTAACCCCCTCAGGGGAAGTGGGGCAAAGTTATATAAAAATTGTGCAAGGCCCTACAGAAGCATATACTGATTTTATTTCTCGATTTGAGATGGCTATTGACTGCCAAGTCGGTAATAAACCTGCTAAAGAGCACTTTCTAAGACAGCTTGCTTTTGAAAATGCTAATGAGGACTGCCAAGCAGCCATCCGGCCCCATAGAGAACCAGGAGGCATTCTTGATTATCTTCGTCTACGTAGAAATATTGGCACTCTTACACATCAAGCCCGGATAGCCTCCCTTCAGCTCATGGCCCTACAAAAACAACAGGATATAAAATGTTATAATTGTGGGAAAATAGGACATGTCAAAAGGAATGCCATAAAGCCCCCCAACCTAGAGCCAATTCCCTTTCTAATACCACCCCTGGCCTCTGCCCTCGTTGCGGCAAAGGCAAACATTGGGTCAAGGAATGCAAATCCAAATTTGACAGGCAAGGTAACCCACTCCCATTAAGGTCAGGAAACGGGATGCGGGGCCACCCCCGGGCCCCGAACAACAATGGGGGATTCAATATATCACCTCTCCAGCAGCAACTTCCTGCTTCGCACATAAACCCTCTGTGTTATCGCTCAGTCCTGCCGCCCAGGGAAGTGCCGCAGTAGATTTAACCCCTCCTTTTACAGTAAATCTTCACCCTGATGTCCGACCCCCAAAAATACCCACGGGTTATTATAGACCTTTACCACGAGGAACCGTGGGTCTTGTGTTAGGAAGATCTAGCCTAAATCTTAAGGAAATCCAGGTGATGACTGGAGTAATAGATTTTGACTATGAGGGAGAAATAATGGTGGGCGCGCAGACTTGGGTTCATTGGACCTTTAAAGGAGGTGATAGAATTGCCCAGTTATTATTACCCTATGTACAAATTGGTCAGTCCCAACAGATCAGACGAGGAAGATTCGGTAGTACTGATCCTCTTATGGTGAAATGGGCTTCATTATTGACTCAGACTGACCGCCCTTCTATGACTCTCAAAATTCGGGGAAAAACTTTCTCGGGTCTAGTAGATTCTGGAGCCGATATTTCAGTAATAGCCTCCCCACATTGGCCTCATATCTGGCCCACGCAAGCAACCGTTATTGCAGTAGAAGGAGTAGGTTTTGTGACTGCAGAAGAAATTCGGCAAAGTAGTGTGCCACTTAAATGTGAGGGACCAGATGGATTAGAGGGAATTATCCAGTCTTTCATCTTAAATACCCTCATTAATCTTTGGGGAAGAGACCTCTTGCAGCAATGGGGAGCCAAGCTAATCATCCCCCCAAATCAGCCAGTTAATCAAATTATGACAAAGATGGGCTATGATCCAGGACAGGGCTCAGGCAGACAACATCAAGGAATAAAGGAGCCTATCATTGCCCAAGGACAAACTCACAGGGCTGGACTGAGTTACCCTTTTTTCTAGGGGCCATTGAGGAAAAGAGGCCTGCCCCTATTAAAATAACATGGAAAACTTCTTCCCCGGTTGGGACTCCTCAATGGCCCCTTCCGATAGAAAAATTGCAGGCCTTAGAACAAATTATTCAAGAGCAATTGCAGGCAGGGCATATGGAGGCTTCGCAATCTCCTTGGAACTCTCCCGTTTTTGTTATCAGAAAGAAATCAGGCAAATGGAGGCTCTTAATAGACCTTTGGAATGTTAATGCCGTCATGGAGCCTCCGGGTGCCTTGCAGCCTGGGTTACCCACTCCTACAGCCATTCCCAAACAATGGCCATTGATAATAATAGATCTTAAGGATTGTTTCTATACCATAGCCATTCACCCTGAGGATAAGGAGAAATTTGCCTTTTCTGTTCCAAGCACTAAGAACAAGGAACCAGTGTTGGCAGGTGGCGGGACGCTGAGGCAGCCCCGGGTCGTGTTGAGGGCCACTCGGGATCAGTTTTCAAGACAGCCTTGGCCTGGACTTCAACACCCCGGCGCGGCTGCGGACCTAGAGTGTTTATTACAATGGAAGAAATCAATAATTTCAAGACATCAAGCAAATTATCTGAAAAAAAGAAATCTGCATTATGTTCAACTCCATGTATAAATATTCCTGCTTCTCCATTTATGCAGAAGCTTGGCTTTGGCACTGGGGTAAACGTCTACCTTATGAAAAGATCTCCAAGAGGTTTGTCTTATTCTCCTTGGGCTGTGAAAAAGATTAACCCTAGATGTAATGATCATTATCAAAGTATGTATCAAAAGAGACTAATAGATGAAGCTAAGATTTTGAAAAACCTCCATAATCCAAACATTGTAGGTTATCGTGCTTTCACTGAAGCCAGTGATGGTAGTCTGTGTCTTGCTATGGAATATGGAGGGGAAAAGTCTCTAAATGACTTAATAGAAGAACGATATAAAGACAACCAGGATCCTTTCCCAGCAGCCATAATTTTAAAAGTTGCTTTGAACATGGCGAGAAGGTTAAAGTATCTACACCAAGAAAAGAAACTG